TCAAATGCTTCTACACCTGTCTCCCACAACAAGGTCAACTCATTTATTAGAGGTTGCAGATAAACATCAATTTTATGTTTGGGCTTGTTTGGCCCTGGAATAATGACAGTTAAGAACATCTACGCTTCCTTCATGCACATTCCTGGAGGTAAATTATATGGAGTTACAATCACTGGCCACGAAGAGTATTTCCTCCCAGTCTGACTGAATGGTTGGAAACCATCCGTACATAACCCCAATCTTACATTTCTTGGTTCATTGGCAAAAAAGGTATGAGTTTCATTGAAGTGTTTCCAAGCATCAGAGTCTGATGGATGACGCATTACCCCTTCGTCATGTGTATGCTCATGATGCCGTCTCATATCAGCAGTTGTAGCATGAGATGCATATAATCTTTTTAATCTAGGAATCAAAGGAAAATAATACATTTTCTTATAAGGGACCAATTTCCGCTTACGAGAGCCTACACGACGCTTATACCTCTGATTGCCACAAAATTTACAAGATGTAAGGTTCTCATCATCGCCCCAATATAACATACATCCTGATTCACAACAATCAATCTTCTCAACTGGCAAACCCAAGCTACGCACCAATTTCTTTGTTTGATAATAGTTATCAAGCACTATGTTATCTTCAGGTAAAGAATCTTTCAACAATTGCATCATTTGGTTGTAACCTCTCTGTGACATGTTGTTCTCCATTTTAATGTTTAACATCCTAGAGACAACTTCAAGTTGAGAGACGGAGGAACCGAGATACAATTTTGCATCAGCGGCATGTAGTAAATCATAAAATCTTTGAGACTCAGGATTAGGCTCCTCCTCCATTGGAAGATCAGACGCCTCCTCTATTGAAGGATTGATCTCCTCCTCCATTGAAGTTTCATAAGTATGAGATGACTCATGTTCAATATTGCTTTGAAATTGTCGACTCAAACCTTGATCAAAGTTTGGACCAGCTACATCCAAAACCATTTGTCGGTACGGATTATCATATCCCAATTCAGGTTGAGTTCCACCATGAAAATCATTAACATAATACATCTCATCAATAACATTTTCTTCCCCTTGATATTTCCAAACAAAATAGTTCTCAACAAATCCGTATTGAAAAAGGTGATATTTAACCATTTCAACATCCATGTATTTAAGGTTATGACATTTTTTACAAGGACATTTAATGTTGTCACCACTCATACGATTTTTTTGTGAACATGCATACTGAATAAAGTTATTCACAACGGTTATAAAACTGGAGAGTATACCCCCTCGTCCATCCAACCTCTCATACATCCAACCACGCTTCAAATTACTCATGTTCCTATAAATTTTAGAATAATCAAGACAATCAGAAATTTCTCTTATATAAGTTATACAATCTGGATGTCCTACAAAGAAAAGATCATATTAAAATACCTTTATGAAAAAGAGTATATCTTTGCACTTTTTAAATCATTCACCGCCTTTTCTGTTAATATAAGTGTTCTTGATCACTATCCAGTTATCTTAAAATATATTATTCTATTAATCTTCAGTTACAAAAAGTGCAATAACAAGAAAATGATAAGTTGCAGGAAGTGCAATGTCAAGGAAAGGTTCATACTGAAATACCTTTATTAGTGCTCATTTATGTTTTTCTATCACTGTCCAGTTAGTTTAGTATGATTTGACCCAACTATAATGTTATTTTAAAATAGTGTACTCTCTTAAATCCCTACACATAAATGATATGATGATTTGTTCTACTACTAATTCTAGTTTAGGCTAATTAAATGTCAAGTCATTTGATAATTATAAGCCTAAAGTTAGATCATAAAATAAGTACTACACTTGTTGTATTGTACTCTAATTATTGTAAAGTTACAAAAAGTGTGATGCCAAAAAGATAATACAAATATTACTGCAAACAATCAAGAAAGTGGTTTGAATTTCATTTCTCTTGCTAGTAACTAATTTCTAGTGTTACGATTGTAAATATAATGGAGTACCAAATAAAAATCATACCGAGGAGCTGAAAAGTTGAGAAAAGGTGGATGAAAAGAGAAGGATGCAGGGCGAGTGAAATTAGTGGAACAAGACGAGATTTGAGAGCCTTGAAAGATTGCAACGTCAGCAAAATCTGTGTATAACATTTGAAATATTAACCACCATAGCATAATTATCCCATGTCTGCTCACAATCAATACCCTTCTGAAAGTTTCATCAAGCATAAAGATGGACAACCCAAAATATTAAACAAACTAAGAGAGATAAGTAGAACTTACGTAAACTTGATATAGTTGTTCTTAGGATAAATAAGCAGCAACACGTTCACGAAGAAGCAAAGGTCCACATATTCTCCACAAACTATAATAACACCATGTGGAAAAGAAAAAAATACAAACTTAAATATCATTGTATGTTGATCAGGTGAATTTCTTTACATAAATAGAGGAGCACAAAGAAAAGAAACAGAGAAGTAGAGCAGAGAAAGCAAGCAGTTACTTAATAGCTATGAAAAATTGAACTTTGCATACTTTACATTAAATCTAAAATTTGTGAAAGACATGTTAATCTGATTAACCATCAGAGATCTCAATCACTTGTATCTAATCCAGCAGAGTATGACAACGAGAACTCAAGAAGAATCTTTCATTTGATATGGAGCAAGGAAAAAATCTTTAGATACACCAAAATTTGATTGACTTACCGCAGAAATTTAGGTACAGATTGGATGAAAATTTTGCTAGTCTCTTCTTGATTTACGTTCTTGTGTGTGGCAAAAAAAAGTTGATGGCAATAGATGTCATTTTTTGTTTGTTTGTTATTCATTTCTTTAATTATGTGTATGAATAGAAAATCATTTTTTGTTTAGTTTATGAACAACTTCTTTAAGTTGATAATGTTAATTCTTATCTAAAACTCTCTTTCTTGAACCATTTTCATTAACTTGTATTTAATTCGACAATGTTTGACAATACGTAAAAATTATAATTGAATCAGCTACCAAATACATATCGAAATTACTAATCGACTATCACAAATAAACATTTTTTCTTTAAGTCATGACTTTGACAAACCAAGAAAAATGAAATAGAATAAGATAGAGAAAGAGAGCTTACTTGGTTAGCTGTTCTTAGGACAAACAGGCAGCAAACACATTCACGAAGAAACAAAACTCCACACATGTTTCATAAGCTGCAATAAGGCCTTCTAAAATAGAAAAAAAACAGAATTTAAACACCACTATATATTCTCATAAAACGAGTTATACGATGCCTATACTAAACTTTTCAAATTAACAATTTCAAAATAGAAAAATACAAACAGAAGTTAAAAATAGAACTCAAAGACCCAACAAGCATAGCAAAATGTATTCCTGATAATGCGCAGAATCCTGTTGCTGTTCAAGCTAAACCCAGATAGAAAAAGTGACTACTAACAACAAAAAAGTAGTCTTATTCACAGTTGATTACTAACAACAAAAAGTGGTTATGTTAAGATCTGGTTTTGACATCTTTTATAATATCACTAATCTCTTAAAACAAACCCTAATTGCAAAGTGTAACTCGATTATGGCAAAATCATTCTTCCAAGTAGAACCCTTGTCTCATATTTCAAGATTACCAAAACCCACAAACAAAATCAACACAAATCCATAGAACACATCTTAATATACAAAAAATAAACTCGAAATTAGAGTATACAAAAGTTAGTACAACTCACTTGATTTTGAATTCGAAAATTGATAGAAACTCATTGATTTCTCACATTGAAGAGAGTGAAAGAGCAATTAGTAGCGTATTTGAAGAATGGGGAAGAGGAATAGTTGAAGAGCAGAAGAGAGAGAGTGGGAGAGCTCAAATCTTTTGTTAGTAGAATGGAGAGGGAATTTTTGTGTGCCCTAACTTATCCCCGAATTTTTATTTTATTTTGCGACGGATTTAACGACACATAAAATTCTGTCGCTAACAAACATCTTTGATTTATTTAGAATGGAAACTAACGACGGATTTTTCTGTCGCTACAAAATATAAAATTTATAAATAAATACTAAAAGTTGTAACGACGAATTTTCCGTTGCTAATCCGTCGTTCAAAATTAATTCAATTTGTCGCAACCCTTCCGTTGTTAAATTCGTAGGAAATATTAAGGCGCCAACTTTTCGCGCTAATAAATAGTGACGGAATATACAATCCGTCGCCATCCGTCGCTATAGAATTAAAAAAAAATTGCTTATTATTATTGCGACAAAATATTTATTCCGTAGTTAAACCGTCGTTATATAGCAACGGAATATAGTCCGTCGCTAAACGCTATTTTTTTAGTAGTGTCCAGAGTATCAGAAGGCCAAGAAACTCCTTACTGTCTCCGGCGTACAAACATTCTAGGAGGCTCCTCGCCGCCGTCTCAGTCGTCGTCGCAACTCTTGTCGGCGACCATACGTGCTCTCTTCCTCACCCGTTTTCATCTCCGTCGCACCATGACCACCAGATCTGACAGGAAAACCTCTTCGCTGTCATGACCAAATCCCACCCTCACCCGCCTCGTTCTTCTTCCACTAACCTGCGTCGTCTCTCTCTAGGTGCCAATGCGAAGATTTGCTAAAGAAGATGACAAGAGTGTGAAGAAGAAAGAAAAATGGATTGGACAGGGATGGAGATGGCCAAAAATGTAGGTGAACCGGTTGGCGGAAGAAGAAAGCCTTTTTTAGTTATTTTTTAAAAAGTTTTTTTACTTTATTTTTTAATTTTTTAATATTTTTTTAAACTTAAATAGTATATCACTCGCCTTAACGAGAGTGAATTCACGCACTTTTGCCAACTCAACCATATTGATGCCACATAAGCCTAGTCAATGGTCAGAGGGGTTTGATAAATTGTGTTTTATTAAGTTTAAGGGTTCAATTGATAAAGAGTTAAGTAGAAGGGTTCACAATACAAACTCATACAAGTACAGGGGTCTATTCGATCATTTCGCCTATTTAATTTAAATAATTTGATGATTGACTAATTTTTTATATAAAGACTATGTAACGTAGATATAATTGGCCCAAAAGACCAAGGTGTTAATCAGGATTGAAGCTCAGCAGCCAGTTTGGCTCTTAAATCCTTTCGAAGTATTTTGCCTGATGGAGATTTAGGAATCACATCCACAAAAAATATCCTCTTTATTCTCTTATAAAATATCACCTAAAAATAAAAAATGAAAAAAAAGAAAGTCAGCATAATAAAATCAAACAGTCTAATGAACATTGCTTTTTTAATACTTTCTATTTATAAATAATTTACATTTTTTAAAATTTAGTATAGAAAGTATTCTCTATGTTTAAAAGGGAATGGTTGATTTTGAAATACTATGGAAAACTATTGAATATTTGCAAAGATAAATTAGACATCTATCTTTTAATAATTTTGAGATAAAAAATTATTGTATATTTTAAAAATATTAAGAAGTACTTAAAAACAATTTTATAAAAATAATTAAAATAGAAAAAATATTAAAATTTCCTAATCAAAGTAAAGTTATTTTAACTTCTGATCCAAAAAAAATTTCATTTTGACAAACTGAACTTGTTTCCAAAATATTTGACATTTTGAAGAATAAGAAGTCACTTGATGGTATTTTTCTTAGATTTATTCTTATTGTACTAATTACTGGTTTAATTATTAATTGAGTTGTTTAAAGAGACATATATAAAAGGTAATTTTGACACTTTTATGATTAACATTATTAGGAGTCTGTTTGACATCGTTGTTGGGAGGCCAAAAAATACTTACTTTGAGAAAATATATTTTTTTGAAAAATTAAGGTGTTTGGCTAATCAGTAAAATTGCTTTAAATGGAAGCAAAAACAATTTTTATGTTGTTAGGAAGAAGTTAAAAATTTCTTCTTCTTAATAAAAGTAGAAGCAAAAAATTATTTATTTCAAGACTAAAATATCCTATATATATATATATATATATATATATATATTCATTTTTGTGGTGGGATTTAATTGTGAAATAATTTTAAATTTATTTTGATTGATATTTTAAGTCATATTTAAATCATCATATTAATATTACATCAATATTTAATTTATTGTTTTATTCATCTATGTGTAATATTGATTGAAAAAATGAATATGTACACTTTAATTTATTAAAAATAAAAATTTAATTAAAAATATTATAATATATATTTAAAATAATCTCTCCAAGTGTATTGATACTTGTCCTTTTTCGTAATTTGACTCCCAAAAATACTTTTTTTTAAAAAGATTACTCAAACACAATTTGTTTATCAAAAACACTTTTCAAATGAATAAACCAAACACAAAGTTATTTTTAAAAATGCTTTTAAAAATAAGCAGTTTTAGCAGCAATACCAAACAAGCTCTATAAGGGAATGGAAATGGAGAGGAACCAAGAATTTAATGAAAAAAAAATGAATGATACTAACCTGCTTAGAGATAAAATCCTTGATTTCATCCTCAGTAATGGTGGATCCATTTGATCTAACAACAAAAGCCACTGGAACTTCCCCTGCTTGTTCATCTTTCATGCTGTCAAATAAATGCTCATGAATTTTTGAAGCTTTTTTCATCGTTCAAAATAATTAAAATAATTCAGTTTGATTTTTTTTTTCATATTTGTTTGATATTTTCTAGAAGACAAAATGCATTACTTGCAAAGTTATATTTATAATTTCACAAAGGACAATAATAAAAAAGTATGATTAAAATTATGTTCTGAATATTTTTCTTAATAAGTGTTCACACACTGCTTCACAAATTCAATTAATATGAAATTTTGGGGGAGTTGAATTTAGTGAGACTTACGGTACAACAGCAGCATCTGAAATACTAGAAAGGGTAAGAAGAAGTGCTTCAAGCTCAGCTGGTGCTACTTGAAATCCTTTATATTTTATCAATTCCTTCAATCGATCCACAATAAAAAGCTCATCATCGTCAATATAACCTATATCACCACTATGTAACCATCCTTCTTTATCTATTGTTCTTGTAGTTGCCTCAGGATCATTCAAATAACCTACATTAAGAAGAAAAAGTGACACATTTAGGATAAAAAGTCAATGAGATTTGAATGACGTTTGACCATATATTTTAAGAGGACTCAAAAGTTTGTCTGTAGATGTAAAAGTCAAAAAAGTTATATGTTTTTTTAAAAAAGTCAAAAAAGGATATCTTCGCCATAGTGAAGGTCGCAAAGTTAGGGCCCGTTTTGTCATGCGATATGGAATCATGATATGATATCATAATATGAAATCATGAGATGAAATTAAAGTTTTGTTTGGACATGCGATATGAAATTTTTGTGTTATATATTTTCTCATACTCATAAGAACCTCATATAAAACTATTATAATCACCTCAATTGTTTATTCAATCTTACCAAATACACAAAAAATTATAAAAGCGCATAATAAATTATTACAAAACTATTTGTTTCCTACTTAAGTAACTGTTTCATCAAACTTTAATGGGAAAAAGGCCTGATATACCCCTCAACTTTGTCATTTGGAGCTGATATGCCCCTCGTTATGAAAGTGGCTCATATATATACCCTTGCCGTTATACAAACGGCTCACATATACCCCTACCATTACAAAATGAGCTCACATATACCCTTTATTTAACGGAACTGAAAAAATTAGTTTCAAATTTATATTTTTGACTTTTAATTTTTTTTAAAATTATTTAGGGGTATATATGATTCTTCTAGCAAAGTTCAAGGTATATTTTAATCTTTTTCGTACATAAATTATTTTTTGACTTCTTTGATTATCATTATTTGAGTTTCTTATTCTTATTTTATTTTTTCTTTCATTCCTTATTGTAAAGAAAAAAATTTAAAACTATTTTTTTGAGGCTATATTATAATTTAAAACTATTTTTTTCTATATTGTAATTTAATTTTTGTATTTGAAGAAAAAAAATTGGTCATCTATAATAAGTTTTACAAGAATATTAGTGAAACATAAATAAATTTGACCATCAAATAATAAATCTAAATTAGTCATTGAAACAAAAAAAAATATTTGAGGAGGATTAAATATACCCATATGGGATTATATATATATATATATATATATATATATATATATATATATATATTTTATTATTATTATTATTTATTTTTATTTAAAAAAAAAAAAAAACTAAAATTAATTTTTGTCATTTCCGTTAGAGGAAAAGGGTATACGTGAGGCATTTGTATATAATCAGGGATATATATGAGTCACTTTCATAAAGAGGGGTATATCAGCTCTAAATGACAAAGTTGAGGGGTATATCAGACCCTTTTCCCAACTTTAATTCAATAAAAAAAAATTGAACATCAATTGTAGTGAACTAATCTTTAATATAATCCACCCACATAATACGGACAATCTCCCCACGTTGAACTTGCATTTCTCGATCATGTGACCGAGAAGACAACCAACATGGTTACTTTGAACCATTTTTTGGTTAATATCATCCGCAACTATATTTTCATGATCATAGACCATAAATATTTCATTACTCCTTTTCGCAAATAATTATGTAACACTGCACAAGCTATGACAATCTTCACTTGTTGTGTGTCAATATCAAAACGGTTCATGCCTTGTTTCAGTAATTTTAATCTATTTTTCCAAGCTCCAAAAGTCCGTGGGGGTTGTTTTAACAAAATATAAACTTGTGGATCAATTTTTGTGTTTAAAAAATCTCAAATCATGATATGAAATTCTCATATAATTCCATATCATGATTTTTGGAGGATATGGTATTCCATCTCATGATATGGAATCATGAGATGGAATCAACGTGAAATCGCATGTCCAAACGTTGATTCCATCTCACGATTTCATATCGTGATATGGTATCACATGGCCAAACGCCTACTTAGTAACATCTTTTTAGGTCGCAAAGAGATGACTAGAGAGGCTAGCACATTGAGATATGCAAATATGGTAAGTATATACTTCTTATACTGATGATGACTTGCTCAAGTCCGATGTAAGCTTACATATGAGCGATTGTGTGAGTGGCTGGATTGGGTATCACGTTGGTACAGTACATGAACACTTAGGGTTCCCAAGATTTCATGTCTAGATGGGTAAGATTAAGATCCTTTAGTATGTGTGTACAAATGAGAGCGAGACTTATGATTTCTGAAAGTGATACATGTTAGCAAGATGTAGAGATTATACAACTATAAAGTATGGATGTTTATGATTTCCATGATTAGTTAAAGTCTACTATTAATAGAGGAGGTATGCTAAAGAAAGGTACATACTTATACCCATATTCATCTATAGACTTGTATACATAGAGTGTCGTGTTGGTTACTATGTACTTATTTATACATGTTTGAGGATTGGGATATCTTAGCATGGTGATATACATTTTTATCTATACACATACAAACATGTTAGTGATTAATGATGACTTGAATGACTTGTGATCTCATTGTTTTATTGTGTGGAATGAATCTGTCTATTTGTTTTATAGTTGTAATTATAAATTTATATACTTGTTACTGATCTTAGTCGGCCTATGATGCCTATCAACACATAGTATTTGTGTTTATGCTACTTATACACTTTCTTTTGAGTGCATACTATGATTCAGAGGCGTCTACACGACCCTATAATTAGCTTGTGCTTACGTTCTGATCCGAGGGTGAACTATTTTTGTTCAGGCTGCCACAAATCTTCTTGGATTTGATGTCTTTCTTTCATACATTGAGTCACTTTATTATTTATTTATTTATACTCTTAAACATTTTTAGTTAGAGTTTTAGCAATAATTTTCAGATGTTGAGTATATATTAATTTAGACTTTTGTTGTTCTTTATCTATTTACTTGAGACTTCTATTTATGTTTTATACTTCTATATTTCTGTCTAGATACTTAAATATTTCATGTGTTGGATGTTAAAATTTGGTTCACCCACACAAGAAAATTGATATAGATGTCAGTCACGATGATTTGAATCATGATAGGAGGAATATTGGAAACTTAAATCCCATGTCTAGTGGCTAATGGATGGCACGTCAATATCATATTTTGTCATTTGGATACCATTAAACATAGGCACTAAATCCATTGGTAATTGTACATTTGAATTTTCAGCCATCCCTCAACTTCACACTTGTCCTTCTACCACTTTCAATGATCACTATCTTGACATTCATCAACAAATATTCTAAATATATGCCATTTACTAATGCTGATGTTAAAAATTGACCTTAAAAAAGCTTTTGACATATTGAAATGACCTATCATCCACTCCTCCTTACTCCACTTAACTTTTTCCCCGTCCATGATCAAACTCATTATGTCTTGTGTCACCACTTATTCTATATCACTATTAATTAATGGTCAATCCACTCAATTCTTTCATCCCTCTAGTGGTATTTGAAAAGGTGACCCCTTATCCTCATTTGCATGAAATTCTTATCACCTCTTATTCAACAAGTCACCTATACCTAGCTTAATTTGGTCGTCGATCTATCAAATTAATCTTGAATAGGATCGTCGCTCTCTCATATGTTTTCTTCGTTCTTCTAGTACAAGTAAATACAACCATCTCTTCTACAATTATTTCCATTTTTGACACTCTCAAGCATCTCTTTGGACAAAAAAAAAATTAATTTATCAAATCCAAACTTCTTTTCTCCATAAATGTCACATTACATTACATAGAGGAATATAATGGAGAAAGAAAGGTCTATTGTTTGAGTTAAATTAGAAAGTCCTTTACCACTTAATTAAAAAGGCAAGTCTACTTTGACTTATATCTTCTTTCATAATTTCCTTAAATTAAATATCTAATTATTTTCTATTCATAATTATTATTGAATATTGAAAAATATATTTTTAGTCACGTTGTATGAGTTATGCTCATAACGTGTGGTATTAAGAACTAATCATTCACCTCTCAGGACATCGCTTGCACTTTTGAGAGAAATATATGTTGATGAAAATGGATTTATATATATATATATATATATATATAAAAGAGTAGTATACAATTTGGTTATGGGATCCATTTTATTTTATATTTTCTTGAAATTTAATTGAACCAAAACGGACTCACTATTTTATTTTTCTCTTATCAATTTCTGTTTGACTATTTTTTATATTACATTTATTAAATTAATAGCTTATAAACATGTATAAGAGTATTAACCATATTAACAAACTTCTACTCTGTAACTTTGTTTTGATTGTCATTAATTTTTCCTTGAAAGAAACTAACAACAATGGTATTGTGAAACACATTTTTGTGTTTATACTATGCATACAAAAAATAGTTAAAATTGATTTCAATTAATAACCTAGTTAAAAGTTTTTAAAAATTGACTTTAGATAATTAAAGTGGATTAAGACTATTTTACTTAATTCATTTCATACTCATATTCATATGAATATGATGAATTATAATTTAATTTAATTTAATTTAACTTAATTCATTTTTAATCTGCTCAAATTTAATTTAATCTGTTTATTTGACATCACTAGATAAAAAAGTGCCAACACGCATTGCATGTCTGTTTGAGGACAAAGTGGACAATTATGGAGTTATGGAGCACAACTAGGTAGGCATTTATTTTATTAAAAATTGTTACTCACACTTCTAATTTAGTATTTGAAAAAATTCTATTACATGCGCCGTTGTCATATAATATTAATTTGACCTACTCAATGTTTGGCTAGAAATTAATGTACTTTATCATATGTCAAATATAATATGATTTTAAAACGATTAGCTAAATCCACAACAATAGTATAGTACTGATTAGTTTTATAACATATTAAAGATTATCTAACACTATGAAGTCATTAAAACTGCAAATAATTGATTGGTTATATTAACTTTGATTAGACTACGAACTATTATATAAAATTTCTTTATATTATATTGCCAGGTATCAATCAACCTATATAGATGATATTTAATTTAAATCATAAGTAAGCTAACCATATGATCACAATTATTATATGATACATTATTCTACGTGCATGCTACGATTGTTGCATTATGTATCTTTTTTATTCAATGAAAAATAATAAAAGAAAATTGAGGATAAAAAGTGTGATTAATTAATTTAAAACTAACCTTTCATAATTTGGTCACCTCTAATGCAAATTTCTCCAGGTTTATTTCGAGGAAGAGAAATACCAGTGTCTGGATCCACAATTTTCATCTCTGCGTTCCTTATTACTGTACCACATGCCCCTGATTTTATCTCAAAAGGTTCTTTTGCGAATGCTAAGCACATTGTTATTGGTGCACCGGCCTCCGTCATTCCATAACCCTATTCAGTTAAGAGTTTAAGTTCTATACACGTTAATAATTATGTGTACTAATAAATATATTTTACACATTCACGTAACTATGAATATACTTATGAATCTATTTTGGTAAACTAATAAATATTACTTAGCTTTTGTTTATATAACCAAGTTATTAAATTAAATTGTAAAAAAAGGACAGATATTCATTTTACTTTTTATAGGATAATCCTTATCTAGTTTGGGGAGAAAAAAAGAAGAGGATAACCATTTTCTTAGGGGTGGAAAAAGAAAGAATGATAACTCCTTTTCACCAACATTTTCAAGAATAGACGTTTACCTAATTACGAGTTTCATACCTATTCACACGAACAATTATAAACTCATTATGTTTGAAAATCGAAGGAAAACCGACTCTGTCCATCAATTTTGTTTTTTTTTAAAAAATAATAGTAAAAAATGGATGGATGGACGTCAGGTTTTTTTGTGCAAAATTACAATTTCTTTTAAAGAAAACTAACGCAGTACCTCAGCTTTTTATTATTATTTTTGTACAAAAGTTGAATGACAAGATCAATTTTTTTAAAGTGCAAAATTGTAGTCGAATAGTATAATTAAAAATGATGGAATTATTTCATTCAAGAGAATGTGTGGTCGTGTGGTAGAATTGTCCAAAGTCATAACAAAAGCGACGAAGAAAAAACCGTGTACAATTGATTTGACATCGATTTTCCTTTTTAAAAATATTGACCTAGTCCATCGATTTCAGAACCCCAAACATTTGGACAACACATATTCAACTTGTGGATTTTTAATCTTAAAAGAACGGTCATCAAGCAGATAACACAAACACCTGATAATTAATATAGGTATAAAACTCAAAAAATGATGATGGTTTAAGAGTTACGTTATTTAAATCTATTCCCTCTTACCTAAACTAATAATGAAAATAACTTTTTCCCTTTTTACCTTGTAAAATAAGCATGTAATGATAATCTTACCTGACCAAGTTTAGCATTAGGAAATTTGATTCCAACTACCTCTTCAAGCTTCTTTCCTAATGGTGCTGCCCCACAAATGACTATCCTTACTGATGAAAGGTCATAATTATCAACTATTGGACTCTTAGCAATGGCCAAAATTATAGGTGGTACAAAAGGTCCAATTGTAACTTTGTATTTTTGTACCAATTCCAAGCATGTAACAATATCAAATTTCTTCATAAGCAAGATTGCTGCTCCAACTCTTAATCCACAAAGTAGAACAGAATCCAAGGCATAAATGTGAAATAAAGGTGAGATACAAAGTATCACATCTTCACTATGAAAAAACAAAGTTGGATTTTCACCATCAACTTGTTGTGCCACACTAGTGACTAGTCCCTTGTGTGTCAACATGACCCCTTTTGGTAGCCCCGTGGTCCCGGACGAGTACGGTAGTGCCACCACATCGTCTGGATGGATTTCCACCTCAGGCAGATGGTCGTGTTCAGAGGTGAATCCAGAATTTGAAATCAAGTCTGAGAAGTGTAAGTAGCCCTCAGACGATGAGTTGTCGTCAATGCAAATGACCTTCACATCATTCTCAAATGCATAGTCCTTCACTTTGTTGAAATTGCATTCTTGTGTGATAATGAGCTTGGCATTTGAGGCTTTGGCTTGTTTCACCACCTCTACTTGTGTAAACAAAGGGTTTGCCATTGTGGAAATAGCTCCAATATATGACGCACCTATGAAGGAATCAATATCATTTCTTTAGAATCAAATAAAAATAACTAGCAACACCCCTTTTATAATATGAAATCTATTTTGACACGAATCAACGTATACTACTAACCTAAGAAGGTGAATACAAATTCAGGTGAATTAGGCAAGAGGATCATTATGGTATCCTTTTGTTGGATCCCTAACTTGTTAAGACCAATTGCAACTTTTCTTGAAGTGAGCTCAACATCAGCATGTGTGTAAATTTGATCATTGGATCCATTGATCAAACATGGACGATTATTGAATTGTGAAATGTTTTGGAAGCAATAAGTATGTAAAGGAAGATGATTAGGGATGTTAATATCAGGGAGTTTTGATTTAAAAATTATGTCTCCTACTTGATTTGGATCCATCTTCAACTTCAACAAGGAAAAATTGAAGAAATAGTTTTTGGAATTGATTGAGTTAAAAGGGTATAGGGATTTGTTGAAAGATGAATTGTTCAAATTTATAGGGATGTGTTATGGAAACATCTTATTTAACTTTATTAGGAGTAGCCACTTATCATATTAAAATATATTTTATTAATTTAAATACTATTTGTATATATGGAGAACTATCTCTCTTTGTATCTGCCTATGTTGAACATAAAACATGCAAGAATTGAAGACTCAAAAAGATACTCTCTTAGTTCCTTTTTAGTTGTCATGTTGCGTTTTTTTCCAAAGTAAATTTGGTTAATTTTCAAAGCTAAATTAAATTACATTGAGTCAATTCTAATTAGATTACATTAATTTGATATTTTAAAATATAATATTAGATATTCAATAACTATATGAAAAGTACTATAAATTCCAACTTTATCCATATCAATATGATGAAAAAATACATTTTAAAATATTAGTCAAAATTCATATCGTTTGACTCTCAAAAAGTTAACTGTGACAACTAAACATGAATAGAAGGAGTAATAAGTAATCTATCTATCCTCCTGATTTACTGGATACGGAGTTCAAAAAATAAGTTTTTTACTTGAAATTTGGGGTTTAAAATAAATTATAGATATTTATATAATTATAAAGAGATGATGATAAAAACATACATGAACTATTACTTCTTCTTTTTTTATGAATTTCACATTTCAACTATTCGTTATTTTCTTTACCTATCCGAATTATCACTATCTATGTATTAAAACATGGACAATTTTTTTGTGTGTTGCTTAAATATATAGATAGTGATAGTTTAGGTAAGGAAACAATGAATTGTTGAAGTGTGAAATTTGTGAAACTGTGATAGTTCAGGTACTATTTAAAAAAAAATCATTAATATAATTATATATTATCTCATTAAGATAATATGAGAAGTTTCAAATTAAATAACTACTATTAAATATAGAAGAAAAAAAGTCATTCTTTTTTCGACTGAAAATGGAACAAGGGAGTACCAATTAAGCAACTAATTACATTACTCCTCTTTCTGTCATTTTATGTATCTTTTACTTTAATTAAGAATATGTATAATAACATCAAATGTCCTTTGACTAATCTTATGATTTAAAGGGTATTATAATTATTATCATAACTACACTAATGTAAAACTATTTAGCATTGAGTTGTACATAAATTTGAACATTCAGACTTATCGATATGGGATTTTCAAATTTCACCAACCACTTTGACTTGCCGGAATCGGGTTGACGTTGACCGGCTGCCGATGGGCAACTGTTTCACCTATAAATTTGTACGTGACTCTTCTGTATATTAATTGTCATGCTTTCTTTTTCAAGACTAATCTGTAGAATTAACTAATCATTCAACATGATAAATTTACAATTTAGATATTAAAAAGTTATACAGAAAGTAATATGATATTCATATATGATAAAAAGATATATCTTAAAACGTTATCAAAGTTAATTAAATTTGACTTTAAAAATAAACAAGATCAAGTATTTGGTGACTTAACTTTTACTTTAACCAACATGGGTTGTGGTGCACTGGTGGGAGTACTTCACTCTTAATCAGAGGTCTCGGGTTCAAGCCCTGGGTATGGAGAAAATTTTGTTGGGAGCGTCACTCCCGAATGGGCCCTGCAGAGAGCGATCCGGATTTAGTCGGAGCTCCAATGTGAGCTCCGGACACCGGGTGGAAAACCAAAAAATTACTTTTTAACTATTGCATTAAAGTTTTTAAATTAATTTTTGTAACCAAAGTATCAATTAACTTATTTAAGTATCATGAAAGTCAATGTCAAATATCGCACAGCCATTTGAATGAATTTTTTATCACAAAAAGATTATTCAGTGACTTTGTGTTGTTTTTAGGTAAATTTAATGATTTTTTTTGTAATAGAAATATATTTTTAATATATTGGTATAATCAAATAGAAGTTGAGATTGACCATCCGTTTAATTACCCCATTTTTCAACTATTTGAATGGTTCCTTCTAAATTAGACGTTTAATGCCGCAAATTATGTTTCACTTCAAAATTATTTATTCCAAGTCTATGTCACCTCCTTCCACTAACATTTGAACTACTATTATTTATTTAATTTTTGTTGTTCATGAATCATGATCAACATTATCTCCATGCTCCACCTCCAATATTCCACTGCCATTAATATAATAGGTTGCCAACTTATTTTTAATTCAAAAGTTCTATTTTGGGATAATCTTAGAGATTTATTATGAACTATATTATATGAATATCCACTAAATGTAATATATATATATATATAAATATTTCTTTATCATTGTGTATATTAATATTCACATCTTCATTATTTCATTATTGATTTTTTATAACTCCTTAATGTTTTTTATATTATCAAAAGATGTCATGTTTATGACATGTTTTGATCAGGGCTGTCTCAACAAAATTGGGGTTCAAAAGTCAAGCTTCATAAAAAGACACTGATTTTTTTTTTCTAGTTGACATATATGAATTGAATGACAATAACATACCTAATGTAATCCTACAAGTGATGTTTGTGGATGGTAGGATGTACAGAAACCTTATGAAGTAAGAATGTAAACATACAAATTTTCAATTAACGATATCGATATAGTGTTGTGTTGCTTTAATATAATGATAAATTGTTTTAATGTTTGAAATTTGAAGAAGACATCGTTTTATTTATTCTTTTGTAACAGACAACAATAGATTTTGCATAATGCAGAAGATTTGATCATTTGAGAGACTACTGAATTTTCAATAATAAGAGAATTGATCGGGTGGTAAGCATCTATGATCACTTCCAACTCTGAGATTGTGAGTTTGAATCACTAAAAGAGCAAAAAAGGTGGAAGCTTCTAAGGTGAGATATAAAAGAAAAAAAAAAGAAAGGGAAGAATAAGAAAGAGAAATATATGAATACTAATGTGGTCTCATGTTAGTTATCACTATAAAAATGAGGGAACAAAATAGGTAGTCACGTAAGAAAAGATATTATAATCGAAAACTATTTCATTTTCTCAATCATTACAACGATTCCCACATTGATGTTTCTCTACGTAGCCCTACAAATAGAGGTATTGAAAATCATGTTGTAGAGACTTGAAAACACTTGCAAGGGTTGTCAAATTGGCGGGTTGAACTGAAATTGAAGAGATTAAAATGGGTTGAACTAGAAAGCGGGTTGGGTCATGACCAGCCCAGATTTACTTTGGGATAAAATGCACTAAAAACTGGGTTGGGTCATGACCTGTCAAATTTGACCCGCGAAATCTCAAAAATATTAACATATTGTTATTTACCTTTTGTAACCACAATTTGAATTTCAAGTTAAAAAAAAAAACTAAGTTCTTGATTTTGAAGAAGAAAGCCCCCAAACATTATACCAACCAAATAACATAAATTTACGATATTCACTCGACATGTATTCTATTTTTGTTGATTATTTTGGTCCCAAAAAAGACAAAAATTTAATATAAATAGAAAGAGCGGATAGATAATTCTATAAGATATAAAATAAATATTTTCTCATTCCTAATTTATGACTTATTTTTCGTTTTAGTGACGTTCTCAAAAGAATGACACATTTCCTTATTGGTAAATGTTTAATGACATTATCCTATTTTACCCTTCTTGAATCTCATTATTTCAAAAGTTACACTCCTTCATTTTAAATAAAAAGTAATAAAAATGCAGTAAAGTACATATCATATTCTTTCTTCCTTTCAAGTTTCAACTATTGATAGAATTGTGAAATCACAAAACGTGAATGCAATTTTATTTTATTTTTAAAAATTAAAGGTCGTTCTCACTTAAAAAATCTTTGATTAGTGTTTCTTCTTTTTTTTCTTTAGTTAAGATTCACAAAAAAAATATAACTAATTTTTCATACACCAACTTCAAGAAGTAATTTTTTTTACATTTATCAAAATGATAATTTTACTTCAGCATGTTAAATTTACAATGTCCTAGCAAAAACTTCAAACCATTCCAAAAGTAAATTACACTTGCAAGATTTTATCAAAAACAACAAACTATTCAAAAATTTAATTAAATTTAGAAAGTTCTAATATAAACATCAAAATGTTCAAAAAAACACAAGTTGTTTGACAATAGTAATTCAATCACTGTTGAAGAAGAGCTAAAACTTGATTGACAGTATCAACATCACAACGAACTTGAAGCGGAAGATCTCATTCTCTTTTTTATCCTTCTTTATTTATATGAAGAACTTTGTAGTTATTGCCACCGTTATCTTTCATTACCTCATTCATACAACACTACAAAAGTTAAAAATACATGATTGAGTCGTTCTACTTTCATTTTATTGAAGGATTTTTCAACAACCTTCACTAATTCATCAACATTTGCAGGAGCATTTTGATATTGAAGAGATTGAATTTCTTTAAAAATACAAGGTCCAAAACATAATTAAGATAAGGACTATCAGGATCTCATAAAAGCCCTCATGCATGTGGTGACTAGCGTTCACTCCGTAGCCTTCCAAAATTTCTGGAAGGAGAGGGGGTGCATCCCATCCGGTCCAGGGTACTTAAGGGGTTGAAAGGAGGTTTAAACGTTTTTAATTTCCTCCCTCGAAAGTGATCGTCCTATCCAATTTTTGTTCTCGTTGGAGAGAGCTTGTTGGCAAGGTGCTGGAATGGAGAGGGAGCTTTGTTTAAGATCAGTAGTATAATTTTTTTGGTAGTGGTGAAGGATAGTCTCTTTAATAATATTAGGATCAAATATCCTACTGAGTTGTTGATACCTATTATCCTATTGCTACGCCTTCTATTAGTAGTAGAGATGTAGAAGAATTTGGTATTCACATCCTCATTGTTAATCCATTGGATTCTAGATTTAAGCTTCCAGAAGTCCTTCTCTCTTTTAAGAATCTCATTATAATCGTTAGCAAGAGTATTTTCCAAATCTAAATGAAAAGACTCAATTTTAATTTCCGAGCTCCTCCAAAAAAGATTAATTCCTCTGT